TATACCCAATTGGATTTGGAGGTTTGATTTTATGGTATTCCTAAATCTTTCAAACAATTTTTTGACTGATTTGGAAGGACCTTTCAAAATATTAGCACTAATCTATTTGTAATTGACCTTCATTCCAACCAACTTCAAGGCTCCGCTCCTACTTTTTCAAAATACGTGTTGAACTTGGATTTCTCAAGTAATAGATTTAGCTATATAGTCCCATCTGACATTCATAACAAACTTCGTTTTGCATTTTTCCTCTCTCTTTCAAACAATAGTTTTCATGGCAAAATTCCAGAATCTTTTTGTACAATTTCAAATCTTCGGGTTCTTGATCTTTTTGATAATGGCTTCAATGATACCATTCCTAAGTGTTTGACAGGAATGATCAGTAGCACTCTTAGAGTACTAAATCTTGCAAGGAACAAACTCAGGCCAAATTTTGGATATATTTTCAACTTCTTGTGCTTTAAGGTTCCTTGATCTGAATGAAAACTTCTTAGGAGGTGTTATCCCAAAATCTTTGGCCAACTGTCAAAAATTACAAGTGTTGAACCTTGGAAATGATCAATTAATTGATAGATTTCCTTGCTTCTTAAAGAACATATCCACCTTAAAAGTCATGATTTTAAGATCAAACAATTTCCATGGCCCACTTGCATGCTCACATAGTACTAGAAATTTGAACACTCTTCAAAATGTTGATCTAGCCTATAATATGTTTAGTGGTACCCTACCAAGATCACTCTTGCAAAGTTGGAAAGCTCTCATGTTTAATGGTGAAGTTGGTTCACAATCCGGCCATTTGTTTTTCGACATCAATGAGGGTTTTTTGAATGAATTGCACTTCCTTTTTACAAAAAGTTCTTCCACTAAAACTAGACAAAATTCTGGAAGCAATGCCACCTTTTTTGATTGATCACATATTTTATGATGTCTATCTTGTTGATTTTGGAGGTAAGAGTTACCAAGATTCAGTAACAATTGTCAACAAAGGGAGACAAATGAAGTTGGTAAAGATTCTTATTGCCTTCACTTATTTGGATTTCTCATCCAACCATTTCAAAGGGCCAATACCAGAGGAGCTTATGAAATTCAAAGCACTTCATGCTCTTAATTTGTCGCTAAATGCCTTTTCTAGCCATATCCCTTCATCTATAGGGAATCTAAAGTATCTTGAGTCTTTGGATTTGTCAGTAAACTCTTTCAGTGGGAATATTCCAATAGAACTAGCAAGGTTATCTTTCCTTGCAGTTTAAACCTTTCCGTCAATCATTTGACAGGACCAATCCCAACTGGCACCCAAATCCAATCATTTGATGCATATTCATTTGAAGGCAATGAAGGATTATGTGGACCTCCATTGACACATAATTGCAATTCTGGTGTAGTACCAACATTGTCACCGCCGTCATCTGAAACGTTTATGCTGAATTCTAGAAGTTCCATTGATCGGAATTTCTTAAGTGCTGAATTAGGATTTATTTTTGGTCTTGGAATTGTGATCTTGCCCCTTATTTTTTGGAAGCAGTGGAGGCTAAAATACTTCAAACATGTGGACTCAATCCTTTAGAAGATCATACCTTAGCTTGATTTTGCATATGAAAACCATGTGGGGAGAACTTATAGAAGTTTAAGGTAGAAACCTTTCTAAATTCACTGAGAACGAAACCAGAGCGCAATTTCTCTGTTTTTTTTAGTTAGAGTATGTGATACTTATCCTGAAGCATATAGGTGTATTGTATGGGTTAAAAGCAAAATATGGCAATGTAATAAATGCATGGATGTGACCTTCAAGGACATTATCTCATATTGAGCTAGTTTAATTATAAAAAGAGGGGAAAGTAATACTTTAGTCTCATCACACTTTTGTCCATGAAAACTTTAAAATGATATTTAAAGTATAAAGGCTTTATTAACGTGTAAGAAAATGAAATTAATGAAAATGCTCTTAGAAGATCAATAATTTCATATATTATAAATATTGCAATTTTCATGATATAATGCCCATCCAAAAAGTGATAAGACTAGGAAATTGAGATGCCTATCACGATAAGGAACAATTACTAAAAAAAAAAAAGATCAAGTGGTGAAGACATTTAGTAAAAAGAACTTGGAATCACTACAAAAAAAAAAGTGGATTAGCGACGAAAAAAAAGTTCGTTGCTAATTTTGTCTCTAATATTAGCGATACAATATTTCTGTCGCAAACTAGTTGTCACAAATCCGTCACAAAATCCATCACTAAAACATTTGTGATGAAAATTAGCAACAGGAAAGGCCGTGGCTAATTTCAAGGATAACCAATTCTTGTTTTGCGATGGAACTTAGCAACGAAATATTTCCGTTGCTAAATTTTGTTGGAAATCCGTCACTAAGATCTGTGGCTAATTTTTTCCCATAGAATATTCTGCTACTAATTCCATTGGAAAGTATTTCCGTCACTATTCTGTTGCTAATTTATTATTTTATTTTTAATATCTATATTACTTTTTAGTTTTAATAAATTTAGAAAATAGTTCATTATTATCTAGCATATCTCTACTTGTATTTTGCAAACTTTTTCCATAAAATACTAATTTGTGAACGTGCGCGCGCACTTTTAACTTCAACTATAGATTAGTTTAGGCCAAAAAATAATGTTGTCAATTTTCTATTACATACTTTCTCAAGTGCATAAAAGTTCTTGACGTATGTTGGATATTTCAAGGTTATATCATCATTGATTCAATTGTCATTGGTTTAAACTATGTCTTAATCATGAAACGTTCTAGTATACATCCTTCAATTCAAAATATAAACATTTTCTCCTAGCTAATATAAACGTTCTGGTATACATATTCCATTGCTAATCCGTGCCTAATTAATTCCATCACTAATATCCACATCATTTTACAATTTATTATTTTAGTAATTTCAATATCTATATCATTTCATAATTTTTATAAAGTGAAAAAAATAGTTAATTGTAATATAGCATGTCTTTACTTGCATTTTGAACTATTTGTTTCATAAAATATTAATTTTTGAACGTATATATTATATGTACTTTTAACTTTATCATATCATAATCAATATAAATTCATTCGCGGACAAAAATAATGTTGTATTACTTTCTTAAGTGCATAAAGCTTCCTTGCATATGCTGGATATATATTCCAAAATTCTTCCATCATTGATTCAATTGCCATTTGTTTAAACTATGCCCCAATATAATCAAGAGATTTTAATATATATTGAATTGATTTTAGTGGTAATAGAGAAAATTGGAATACCCACTTGATGGGTTTATTTTTCATTTCTTTTATTTTATTAATACTTTTCTAATCTAATGGAAAGTTAAGCTTATGATATTCACAAAGTAGTACTTGTCTTGCTTGTAGCCACCTAGTGATGATATTAGTTATTTTAACTGTAGATATTTTTTAAAAGAAAATATTTTTAAAACTTAATAATAAACCCTAAACTCTTAAGTTTTTGGGTTCATAATCATCAACCATCAACTATATACCCTACTAAATTTTATTTTTATGTGTATTAATGCCTTGAAACTGAGTCATATATATAGGTAATTCTCTAAATTTTAAGTTATGTGCAAATAAATATTTAAAAATTAATTATAGGAGAGTTATTTGAAAAAAATGTAAGAGTTTAGGGGTTGCTTATGAGAGATAAAATTTCAATAATTTTCAATCAATTTTTTTTATAAATCTAGAAATTTTTTTAAATTCATATGCCCAAAAAAACTTTATAATTGCAAAAATAAAAAAATAAATTGTTTATGCTATATGTTTAGGGATTACTTTTGAAATTCAATTTAATATAATTTTTAGGGATTATACATAAATTTTAAATTTAATATAAAATTTAAAATCCTCAACCATCAATTATATATATATATATATATATATATTAAATTTTAATTTTTATATGTATTAATGCCTTGAAACTTTATGTCATATACAGATAATTCCTTAAATTTTAAGTAAATATTTTCCCTCTAAATAATTGAGGTGGAGGTAAATATTTTCCCTCTAAACTTTGTGTCGTTAGTGAATTTGTGTTAGTGAACAATTTCGTATGAGTAGAGAAGTTCTCATCTTTATTTCATATGTAAATAAAGTTTTAATTTATTCATTATATTGCATTAGGCAACAAGCCAGCTAGATAACCTGGCCCTTTATTTAATTCAGCTGCTTCCTTCATTTCCTTCTACGATCCATAACCGTTGCTCTGTGATTACAGCTCGACTGCTTCCTCCAGTTCCCAAATTGATGACACAAATCTGTGTGGAAAACAAATCAAATTAAGGTTCCGTTTAGTTGCTAGAAAGGATGAGAATATAATAGATTAAAGAAGTTAAAACAAAAATAAACTAAAGCACCATTTCCTTTTATTGTAAGCATGCTAAAATTCAATAAAATGTGAGAATCATCACAACTTTCAAAAACCTCATGAATCATGACTTTCAACCCTTGAACTAAATTACCCTTCTCTCCTATGAATATAGTTCACTTATCCACTTTCACATTTTAATTATCTTATTTCTACCTTTATTTTTTCAATTGGTTCCATTCTCTTCTTTTTTAACAACAAAGTGAGACCTAAGTGACATAAGGAACAATCTCTCCCTCCCTCCCTCTATCTCTCCCTCATACACACAAAATTATTAACATAATTGATTTTGAATATAATTGATTATGTTATGTGGTATAATTGATTTATAAAATAGAATTGAAAATCAAGTCATTAAAACCATAATTTTGTAAAAATATATTCAAATACTATATATTACATGTCAAAATTAATTATAAAAAAAAATATCCCAATACCCTTAAGATTCGTTTGGATATCCATTGGTGATTATAAAAAATTTGATTGATATGACTGGTTATGTTATGTAGTATTGTGAAAATTATAGTTTCGGGAAAGTATATCCAAACATTAGAGAAAAGGATTTATAAATTGAATTTACCTCGGTGGAGGTGGTGGAGGAGGTGGTGATGGTGGTGAGGCAAAGATGAAAGGAGCAGCAGTACAAGTGGAGCTTGCCTTTGTGCAATCTTCTAAACTAGATCCAGCTTTGGTAACACAGATGCGAATCTCAAAGAGTTGTAGTTTACCAGACTTGTCTTTCTTGCATGTTATGGCTGCCTTTTTGTTGTGGCTTCCTCAATCGCCTTTAGTACTTTATCTGCCTCGTATGTCGTCGTTCCATCAGGAAGGATATCTATGTATGCATGAAACCCAATATTTTTATCAAATTATCTATTGACAATGTCCAAGATTGGCCTTTGGAAAAATGACAATTAAAGACTCCATTAGGATATTAATGACAATTATGGACCTTCAATTATTGAAATCCCAATAATAAACCATAGTTCTTGTACTCATACTTAAAAATGTGAATAGTTTATTGAAAAATCTACTAAATACACTTGTAAGAGAACCATGAGTTGTATATGCCTTTGTTCTATAATCAAGTTTCCAATACTTCAAAATTATAACTTTTAATTTTTATTTTATATTTATTAAAATACAAATTTATAACAAAGTTAATATAAATCTACTTTATCATTAATTTGGATAGTTCAAATTTAATTTTAAAGGTCCAAATTTAATATTAAAACTTTTTTATAATTTTTATAAAATGACTATCTAGATAATGGTTTGGATTTAAAATTTTTAACTTGTAATTTTTTTAAAAAAATATTTTCTTTGGAAAGTGCCAGGTATGAGATTATATTTATATTTAATATAGAATTTACTGAAATAAAAATATATAAAAATAATTTAATATTAAATTTAGACTGTTCAAAGTACATATGATATGAATTATAGGTAGTCAATTTATAAAAATTTTAATATTAAATTGAACCGTCTAGATTAAATATCTACTATCCAAATTAGTGATAAACATATTTATTATTAAAATTTATAATTTTTAATTTGATAAATATAAAATAAAAAGTTTTAAATATCATGGGCGATGAGCACCATGTTGCATCCCACGAGAGTACCCACATGAGCAAGTGTAGAGTTGTAGAGTACCTTTCTTTTTCATCGTTTCCAAAATAAGTTTAGAATATTTCTGAGCAGATTGAGTTGCAATTTTAAAGTAATCTTTTGCATTGTATTTTTCCTGACAACAAGTTCCATGCTTCAACCACTGTCTTCCCCACAACTCCTTGCCCTTATCAAAGCTGGACGCATCTTCTAAAGCTGGCCAATATTCCAACAGATCCCCTTCTAAAGCTTTAAGCTACAAAAAAAAAAAATAGAGAGAGAGAGAGAGAGAAAGACATTGTGAAAAACAATAACTGGCTAGGAAGGGAGTTTCATTATTAGTTATTTGTTAGAACTAAAAATAAAACATGTTTTGAAAACAAATAAGATTTGTAAGGAAATTACTATATCATCTGTGACGGGATTTAGTGGTGGACAACACGTTTTGTCTCCTCCAGAATTTCTGGATGGCCAGAGCCCATGAATGGTGAAGTGTTGTTTTGGCACAGCTGGCTGGCAATTTGCATTTTCCATCTTGCAAAATCCATTGGGCCATCTCAAGATTAGTGAAAAATAATCAAAATTTGGACGAGCTGGCGGCGGCGGAGGAGATGTTGAGGGTGGTGGGGGAGGAGGAGTTGCAGGGCAAACTGGTGGAAGAGGAGGAGGCGGAGGTGGAGGTGGCAGGGTTCCCGGAGGAGGTGGTGGGCTTATAGGTGCAGCAATCCTTTGTGGGTCATTAGTTACACTATGACATGAGCAACAGACCCATGCAATGAACAACACAAGAAGAAACAAGTCATGTTTTGGTTTCATGATGCTCATGTTGGTATTGTTTAATTAATTGAGCGATGTAGTAGGGTTTTTATAGCCACCTCTATACTAACACAATCAAGCATGCACGAGAGCTCGGAGAGAAGAAAAATCCTAACTCCTGTTTGGTTACTAAAAAAGAATGAAATGAAATGAATTAAAAAAAAGGATAAAAATGAGATGATTGAAGGGGATAACTAAGCACATTCATAAGGGAAATTAGTAATTTAGTTCATGAGATTGAGAATTATAATTCATGAGATTTTTTGAGGGTATGATAATTCCCACATTTTTAGTATATATTAATGAGTTTTATCATACTTACCATGGAGGGAAGGGTGATTTAATTCATTTTTGTGTTTAATTTTTTAATCCATTCCTTTTTAGTAACCAAACAAGACCCTAAAGTTTTCTCCTTAATAATATATTAAATATTATTTTCTCTTAAAAACTAGATACTTATTAGATGTTAGATACTTGTTCATCTCATGTATATTCTTTCCACCAGAGTGTTTTGATCTCTGCTGCAACTGCACGACTTGGATGTAATTAAAATCTGAGGTATCCAGGTCGTATTAGAGAATAGAGATAACTATTGTTATTTAAAGAAATAAATAAAAGCTTTGAAAAGGATTTAATAATTAATAAAGCAACTAAATAAAAATGATAAAAAAATGATAAACCAACCGATCAGACAAGCATTAAGCATGAAGATTCAGCTATTAGGATAGTTTAATTATTTTCCTTTTATTTATAGCAATATTCATTAATAAAGTATTTTAATTATCCCTCATCAGTATATTAGGATGTATTTATTCAAGATTGAATTAGCTCTCACTAATCCTATTGAGACCTTAAATAAACCATGAAGCTATGACCTAAACCACCTCAAACCCTAAATTATCTTTAATATAGTTATCTATGTCTGTATTTAATTTAGTTATATATATCTATCTCTCCAGATCTATAACTCTTCACCTCTCAATTCTTCGAATAGCTCACAAACAGACAATATGGCAGCCATTCTACATAAAAAACGTAATTAAAACAAGAGACATAAATATAAATAGAAATAATAAATTCTCATAGAACAAGAGCAAAAATTCATCCAAATCAAGCTACTCTCCATCCCTACTGGAAGCTTAGAAACAATGTTAACTCATAGAATTCGAACTAAAATCCCAAATAAAAATATAAATATAATCAAAAGAAGGAGAAGAAAGAAAATCTCTCAACTCGGAAGAACTCCTTCAACTCCTAAATATGCCTCCTAACCTATAAATATGATATTGGATGATTTAAGAGAATTTTGAGATGTTTATTTATAATCACTATATCATCCTTGAGCTCAAAATCTGAATAGATCACATGTAAATTTTATTTGATTCCTTAATATATGGTATCTGATTCTTATTATTGTGTTCTTTTCTTCCTTTTCTTCAATTGATCTATTCTTTTTTTCCTATATAAAAAGAAGAAGATATTAGTAGAATTTATAGTAAAAATTCTTCTTTATTTTATTATTATAGGAAAATATACAAAAGTTAGTTAAATAAGTATAAAATATTAATAATTAATAAATATAGTCAAATATAATGCAAATTTTTTTTTTACCTATTTTTCTATAAAATACGCCGTTCTCATGTCTGTTAGATTCCGTCGACATCCATACTAAATTAGCTATAATAATCAGAACAATAAATCAATTTTTTGTTTAAAAAAAGTTGAGCGATCGGCCGAACATGGCTTCCCTCTATTTCTTTTGTCTCAATTTCCCATATCAACTTTTGGATTATTTTTAAAATGGTTATGATTTTACAATCCAAAACTTATATATATATATATGGAGAGAGAGAGAAGCAAAATAGTGCTAATTAAATTAAATTAAATCATAAAAACAAGAAATAAAAGACCCAAGACGGATCTGATAAGCTTGATGTGGCATGGCTGTGCGTATATTATAATATATGCCTCGTGGATCATGAGGAATCTTTCCAGAAAAATTGAATCATGGCTGTACCTTTTTTTTTTTTTTTTACAACCAGCTTTTACTATCACGTGTGATGCATGGAATATTATAAAATAATAAAATGAAAATAATCAATCTCACAAATGCACGAGATCATAATAATAAATATATTCTAAAGTATTCAAGGTATCAACTTTAGAGAAAAAATGGTAATCTTTGTTACTTAAAAAAAGATTACATTGTTCAAAGAACCAAATGATCAACTACGTAAAATAATAGAAAGCAATGATGATCAATGAACAGTAAAATGGTTAAGAGATTCTAACCAGTCAAGTGTCAAGGATCAGATTCGACGACTGAACTCTAACAGAGATGAAACAATTTTTGTTCTTTTGGTCTTGATCCACAGCTGGATGTATTATGCCTTAATGATTACTAATCAACCAATAGATCGAGGTTGATTAGTCAACTTTATTTGTTTTGAGGGAATGCTTTGCCCAAAAAAAAAAAAAAACTTATTATTATCTTCTGTGCTTAATTGTTTCTGCATAATGCCAATCTTACCACGCTATCGTGTCAGTGTAAGAAGTTTAACATATTTGAAGATCTTGAAGACAGAATTAATATCGTATTATTTAAAGATCGAATACATTAATAACATCCCTATCATGGGGATTTCGTTGAATTATATAATAGACACATGCATGAGATATGATGAGATGTGTACGTAGTTAATGAAATGAAGAATGATTTGAAGAAACACACATGCATTCACTCTTTTCTTTTTTGGCCGCAATCACACACAAGCATTCACGAGATAAACAAAACTCGATGTTGACGTGTTTATTTGTCGTTCTGATTATTATAGCTAATCTAGTGCATTGGATGTGGAAGGAATCTAACAAAAAATTTGATAGAAATAAAGTGAGATGCAAAGCCATGTTTACTTGCACCCCCTCACTTTAGAAAAAACTAGAAATAACGTATGTAAATTTTACAACTTTGCACCCTCTATTTTTGATATTTTGCATCCTTTGAGCTTATTAAAAAAATTTATTGTTTTATATTAGTTATTTATAAATTTTTTCCTCAACTATATCATCATTTGAAATTTTTTTTGTATATTTTTATTAATTTATGATTCTTGATAACCTATAAAATTCTAAAATTATTGGTTTATTTCACGGTTATGTTGTTGAGCAACTTTGTCATTTATTGGTAGTTGTAATATGTGATTTAATATTTCATTGATTTATTTTAAATTAAATTTTATTAATTACTACTTTTTCATGTTTTATTTATAATTTTGCTCGGGACACTACTTACCGAAAGTTTCTTTAGTCTCAGATAATGTAATTGATCCTGCACCTCTTGCTGATTATTAAGGGGCTTTATTGCTTTTTTTTTGGGACAATGAAAGCACGCTTCAATTATTTATTTTAATGTAAATATTTATTGTACTATATAATGATAGTTAGTGCTCCACGTATACTGTAGTTAGGTCCTAGTTTTATTTTGCTGATATGTAATTTGTTGGTGTGGAGCTAGTCTCTTTTACTGGATTGATTGGTTGGTTTTGCTATTGTAGGAATTTGGAGAGGTCCAAATTACAAGAAAGACTCTACTAAAATTTCTATAAACATTTAAGACTTTATGAACTTTATAAACACATATAAAAACTATATATTAATAATTTAGCTTAATTTTGGTTAATTAAGGCTAAAGGAATATGAGGTTATTTTATATTCCGTGCAGGGTGTGACACAATGAAGGACTATGTGGACCTCCATTGACATATAATTGCAATTCTGGTGTAGTACTAACATTGTCACCATCGTCATTTGAAACATCTACGTTGAATTCTAGAAGTTCCATTGATTGAAATTTCTTAAGTGCTGGATTAGGATTTATTTTTGGTCTTGGAATTGTGATCTTGCCCCTTATTTTTTGGAAGTAATGGAGGCTCAAGTACCTCAAGTATGTGGACTCAATCCTTTGGAAGATCATTCCTCAGCTTGATTTTGCATTTGAAAACCATGGGGGGAGAACTTACAGAAGTTTAAGGTGGAAAACTTTCTAAATTCACTGAGAACAAAAGCAGAGCGCAATTTCTCTTGTTTGTTTTGTTTTATGTTTTTGGTTAAATTTGTGACACTTATCCTGAAGCTAGCACATATGTGTATTGCATTGTTTAAAAACAAAATGTGGCAATGTAATAAATGCAAGGACGTGACCTTCAAGGACATTATGTCATATTCAGCTAGTTTAACTATGAAAAGAGGGGAAAGTGATACTTTAGTTTCATGACACTTTTGTCCCTGAAAATTTTAAAATGATATTTAAGGTCCAAGGGCTTTGTTAACGTGTAAGAAAATGAAATTGATGAAAATGCTCTTAGATGATCAATAATTTCATATATTATAAATATTGTAATTTTCATGGTATAATGCCCATCCAAAAAATGATAAGACAAGGAAATTGAGATGCCTATAATGATAAGGAACAATTACTAAAAAAAGATCAAGTGGTGAAGATATTTAGTAAAAAGAATCTGGAATTTTCCCATCTAATCTACAAGTGACATTTAAGTTTCAGCATGTAATCATGCCGTTAGGCCATTTTTGCTATTTTTTTGGTTGGAATATTATAACGGAATGTTATAAGTGATTAGAGTTAATCACTAGGTTTGTTAGTGACAAGTGATTAGAGTTAATCACTAGATTTGTTAGTGACCCTAAAAATCTATATAAAGGGCACTACATTGTTGAGTAAGGGGTTGCATCCCACCTCTAAAGGAGGTTAACAAAGGTCCTTATCTCAAAGTGTTTTTGGGATTCATGGTTTCTTCTCTAAGTTGGAATTGTATTGTTCATCACGTTGTTTAATTATCAATTCGCCATTCTTCTTTTATTAACATTTTACATGAGTTAACATGGTATCATGAGCAAGTCACATTTAGGCCTTATCATGCTTGTTTTCTAGTTTGTTGGACTCTGTTAGTGAAGTTTAGGAACGCGCAAGCTCCAAGGCCCATCTTTCAGACAATACTACCAGTCATCTAAAAATTTGGTTAGGTAATCAAGATCAGCCCGTCTCAAAATCAAGAATTCATTCTTCACACATATCTGAAGGTTCATAAGTCTAAAACTCTAAGAAGCCCTCAAGTAGGTATCAAAATCTAGTAAAGATCACGAGTTTGGAAATAACAACAAAGGCCATATCTTCGCCAACGGCATCCAAACCTCCGATCACTGATAAGGACTCGATGGGCAACAACAAGAAGGTCTCAGCACTGGGAACTATCGTTTTATCAGCGCATGACGCCTCCAATCATCCCTTTGTCAATCAAGTGCTCCCATAGACGTCTAGGCCACAAAGCAGGCCAAGAATGATCATAAAATGACAATAAAATCCTTCTGAATTATATAAATAATGATTTCATCCCTCAAAATAACATAATTACACTGAAGTCCCTGAGGACTTTTCTACCATTAATGAATTAATATAAATGATCAAATTGTCCTTGATTCATTATATTACTGAAGTGTAGCAAATAACAAGTGCCAATCACAAGTTTTGTTAAAATAATATCAATTTTCCTTTTTTAAAACTGCAAGAATGCAACAGAAAATTACAAGTTCACATTTCAGCAATATAATGAATAGGACTTGTGAATTTGTGATTTTTTTGTTGTATTCTTACGATTTTAAGAAGAAAAATTGTGATTATTTAAACAAAACTTGTGATTGGCACTTGTTATTTGCTACACTTTAGCAATATAACAAATCAAGGGTAATTTGGTCATTTAGATTAATTTATTAATGACAGGAAAGTTTCTAAGACTTCAATGTAATTATGCCATTTCAATAAACCAAATTGTTATTTATATAATTCATATGAATTTTATCATCATTTTCCATTATTTTTTTATAACCATGAATTAATTATCAATACCCATACAATATAAAGGGAGTAAGAGCTAAAGAGTATAGTAAAACGTGGAATTAGATTGGATTTCCCTTATTTCTATGTACCTTGTGTTGTCTTCTTAGTAGTGTTAGTTGGAAGGATTGAAAGCCTATTGGACTTAAAGCTACTAATAGAGCTCACTTTACTCATGAAATCTTAAGAAACAGGGAAGAGCATCATGGGGATGGTCGACAATTTTAATTGGATGGTAGGGATTTTTTAAAGTTAGATTTGACATGGAAATTTGGGAATGGGAAGAAAGTGAAGATTTGAATAGATATAGAGGTACTCTGTCACATCTCAATACTAAAGGCATGACTGGCATGAAATATAAGGTGAATTCATATTCCATGAGCCTTGATTAACTAAAAATTAGGCTAAATTATTGATATATATACGTTATATATTAATAAAATTCATAAATCTTTAAATGTTTTGTAAAAATTTTGGCAGAGTCTCCCCTGTAATTAGGATGTCCCAAAATTTTTACAATACTGAAACCTATCAACCAAATTAGAAAGGAGCTTAGCTCCACACAATAGATTTCACAATAACAACAAAGTTTAAGATCTAACTACAGTATACGTGGAGTATTAAGTTACAATTTGTATAATACAATATACATTCACATCAAAAAAATGACTAATGTGTTCTTTTACTGTCCCAAGAAGCAGTAGAGCCCCTCAATGATTAGCAGAAGATGCAAAGTTAGCTAAAATATTTGATACCAAAGAAATTTTTGATGAGTAGCGTTCCAATCAAAATTATGAAGATAGTAACTAATAAATTTGGTTTAAAACAAATCAATGAAATAATGAAACATATACTTAAACTAACAATAAATAATGAGTTTCTTCAACAATATAACTGTGAAATTAAACAATGCTAATAAAGCCATATAAATTTATCAAAATTTATAGTACTTATAGAATATAAAACTTTTAAGTAATGATACAGCTATGTAGAATGCTTTTAGAGAACTTATAAAAAAATAATAATAAATTTTGATTTAAATCCAGGAGGGCTTTATCAAAATGAACAACAAGCGTGGATACACAGTCCACGAGAGTAAATAACCAATCAAGTATGGATACATAGTCTATAAAGGTAAGTAACCAAATAAGCATGGCTCAAAGCCACAAAACAAGCGCAGGTACGAGGCCTATGAAAACAAGCGTGAGTACAGTGCTCATGATAATCATCCCTCCATTCCATATGCGTTGGCTATCGCACGGGGCTAGCACCTCCAATGCACCTTGCTAGCTAGGTGTACCATGGCATGCCAAGGGCTAACGGAACTGCCGTTAGCATCCAACGTTCTGAACTTAGTCCCCCTCATTAAAATCAAGCGTGTATATAGAGTAAGAAAATAGTTTCAAAATTTTCACTTGTAAATACTATCCAACTATCATTTTCCGTTGTCCAAATTTGTTATATTTCCTCCATACACAAATTGTTGCAATAAAAATTTTATATCAACATAGAATTAAATAATTAAACTACTTATGAGAAATAATACAATTCGTCATATATCTGTTTCAATCATTGATTATCAACAATATAAATCCTTAAAAAAATTAACACGTTTTCACAAATAAAACAATTATAAAAAAAATAAGATTAACATTCTACCATAAATAAAACAATTATTAAAAAAATAAGACTAACAAGAATATTTGTACAATTTATAAAAGAATAATAGTGAAATTTAAATAAATAAATTTTATAAATATTTTACCAAAAATTGATTCGGAATGTCACCCACTCACCTGAGGGTTTCCAAAAATTCTATAGTTTAACCTCCTCAATTTCTCACTCACTTCAGTGATGCGTCAAATAATCTAGCACACAAACCAACAATCCTCATGTCATTATAATTTCCCTTTGGTGCTACATGATTCTAATGATTAGTTTAACCTTACAACTTATATAAATAAAGACATATATCTCTTTAAGCAGTGTTTACAGTTCCACTAGGCCTTGATATGAAAATTAAATAGGTTTACCTTCACCAAGTTCCATGTTCAAATACTTTAAAAATACAATACAAACTAAATTATAAGCATCTCCATATTTCTCATGATAACAACAATTTAATTTTTCAAACAATATTAAAGATAATGCCATAATCAATTATATTTCAAGTACCATTGAGCCCATTATATTATTTGACAAATTTCAATTCATCCTTATGTCCTTCGTAACCCATCCTCAATCGTCTACTATGATAAGCCACATTAACTCTTCTTATACTTTCTTTAAAATTAATAAAGTACTATAATAATGGTCCTATTTAATCCTTTCTCCTATCTTGGTATCTTAAGATTCCAACTAACGGCTCAAGCCAACATTTACACATATTTCTCCAAGGTATAAAATGGAAGTTTAACAATATTCATTCACTAAATTCTTCCTTCCAGACTCCCCCCCCCCCAACAAACACCTTAGGGGCATTCACCATTTACCAAATCATGAAATAAGCCTCCAAGAAATTTCAACCAATTAATAAAGCTTTTTAATCTTGAATCTTTTTCCCCAACAAATTTCCATCCATCTAGATTCATCATGCTTTTCCAATCAAATTCCCCATCAAGAATCAATTTAATCTCAAGAAGAATTCAAACCCACACCACCATCATCTTCCTCTTAACACTAGCAATTTCCACTTGATTTTTTTTTTCTTTTTTTACTGTCAAAAGTATGCATGGTGGTCATTTGTCAATAATTTTGCGTAGCTCATGACTTTTGAAGATTTTAGAGTTAAAAGGTAGTTATGCCTAATAAACCCACCCAATTCAATGGCTTGTGTCGTGGGTTGTAAAGTGGGAAAGACTATAGAGTTGAGAGGAACCAAGTGCAAAATTTCAACAATAATCAAAGCCAGAGAAACGTTGACGTTAGATTCATCATATATATATATATTGGCCACGGAAGAGATTATTTATTCCAGCGCTCAAATAAAATCTACAAGCATATAGATAGAACTAGGAAAGCAGTAATCGACAAAGAGGAGGACTAAAAAATCCTCACATTAGACTAGTCAAAACAGAACAAGAAGAGGAGAAAAAAAAACCTTGTGATCAAGCGAGCACAAGCGGAAGAAGAGGAGATCGTGACAATGATAAATCGCCACAGCAACGAAAGGCACGCCCATGGTTGCCGGCTACGAACGGACAGAGAGGAGAAAGGAAGACGAAGTCCACGCCCCACATACTGACCCAAAGCAAGGAAGAAACAGAGGACGATGACAGGGAGAAAGACTCAGCAGCCAACCCACTGCAGCGAACAAACGAAGATGGAGAGGAGGGTGATGGATGAGCTGTTGGCGGTGGGGAGAAGAAAAAAATGATGAAGAAACCGATGAGGGTACTAGAGAGAGAGAGGTCAACAATGAAAAAAAAAAATAAATCAGAGGCATGCTGTCGGTGAAGAGAGGAAATGAGAACCGATGCCCTGTTCTTTGCACGTGCAAGAAAAAAAAAAAATCCGAACTATAAATAATTTGAGAAAATTACAAAAAAGGCACAAGGAAAATTACAAAAAAGACCAAAGAAAATTACAAGAAAGGACAAAAAAAATTTCCTACAATTTAAAACAAAATGAAACCAGAAGTTTGCTAAGTAGAATTTGAACTCTGAAACTTCAAGAAAGTTCTTAGTATAAATTTCACTTAAACTACCATCTCTACTTACTGTAAAACTAATTTAAATAAATTATTAATTGAAAAAATTATCTTAATTTAACTTAAATTTTAAGGTATTACATACTCCCTCTGTCCCTATATATAAAAAATCTTTTAGAACCTTTTTTGTTCCTAAATATAAAATATTGTTAGTATATTTTTTTTAATATATGGACTGTTATACTCTTATTAAATTAAAAAGAGAAAAAGATAAGTACTCTCATTAATTTACAAGGATTGATCTACATTGATGAAAGAGTACTGAAAAAATATTTTTTCTTTAAAAAATATAAGAAGTATATGTATTATCTGCCTCGATTTAATAGATATGAATTGCCTCCAATGATTTACAATATTACTCTTATGCCATTCAATGTCTTTTTATTATTTTTATACTCTTAATTTTCAAGACTCACATAAAAAAAATCACATATTTTATACCCATTATTTTATTTTTAGCTTTTTTCTAATTAAAACTTATTTTCCACACCCCTTTCATCTTCCCTCATAAGCTTCACTACTTTAGCAACAAAAAAAAAAAAACAAAATCCCTAAAATCCTAAAACGCAAACTCACTTTTCATCGTGCATTCAACTCTTGCTGCTCTACTTTGTGAGTTTGTGACTTGATCTTCATTGCCCCTACCTAAGCCTCTACGGTTGACTGGGTCTCTAATGGACTGCCTCTCTTTGGTTCTACATTCGGTGCTCTAGGACTAGCAGAGTACTCTATACCAAAGCTTGATTTGGTTTTGCGTTTAAGAATAATCATCGCGTTTTGCCTCTATGAGAATTTCTGAATTGGAATGAATAGATTATTAAAAATGGAAGAGAATAAAAGAATAAAAACTAGATATGTGAATATGTGATTCTTGGCTTTTTGCTTTAGATGGCAGATGTACTTGTGCAGGTACACAAGGAGGGCCATCTTTTGGGACCACCAACTTTTTATTTATTAGTCCATACTTAATACTATATTGGAATGTTGAAATGGTCAAATGAGATGGATAATGCTTTGAATAATTTATGCTGAATAGTGAGAGCACAATTACAAACAAACACTCCACATATTTTTATTTTATTTTTCTATTTTATATTGATTTGTTTATGTCATACTATCATTATAATAATTTGAATTGAAATTTGAATTTTTTAGGCTTCTTATAATGGAAAAATTTTCAAAAGAAAAGCAACATCATCAGAACAATAATCTTCTCAAGATCATGGTGATTGTAGAGATAGAACATTAGATCCAAGATTTTTGAAATTTGATTTAAAAAAGCTTCCTCGTGATCCTGGATTGAGACCAAAAATGTCTTGTTATCATCCAAATGACAGAGATGAAATTAGAAGATATTATTTACAAAAGGGTCCTTGTCAACCAAAAAAGATTAATGTTCCCCAAAGATAATTTGGGAATACCTTTCATAGATTTAATCCAGATTGGTATTCAAAATATGGCAATTGGTTAGAATATAGTCAAAAGGAAGATGCTGCTTATTGCTTATGTTGTTATCTTATGAGATTAGATGTTGGACAACACAAAATAGTGGTGAAGCATTTATAACAGAAAGATTCACAAGCTAGAAAAAACTTGACAGGTTTCAAGTTCATGTTCGAGCTCCAAATAGTTTTCATAACCAAGCTTGGAGAAATTGTGAAGTTTTAATGAAACAAAAGCAATATATTGATATTGCTATAAGTAGGCAATCTAATAAAATGAAAGAGGACTATCAGATTCATTTGACTGCAATAATTGATGGTATTCAGTTTTTATTACATCAAGGGTTAGCTTTTCAGGTAATGATGAGTCATCATCTTCCAATAATCAAGGGAACTTTATTGAGCTTCTAGATTTTCTTGCTAATCATAATGAGACTATTCACAAAGTTTTGAAGAAGGGTCGTGGAAATCTCAAATTAACAGCTCCTATAATACAAGCTGATGTCATTAGAGCTACTGCTAGTGAAACTACTAATGTTATAATTGATGATCTAGGAGATAAGTTATTTGCAATTTTGATTGATGAATCTCGAGATGTCTTAGTTAAGGAACAAATGGTCGTGGCTTTGTGTTATGTGAACAAGCAAGGGAAAGTTATGGAGTGCTTCCTCGATCTTCTTTGAATTTCTAATACTAATGCTTTGTCATTAAAATCAGCTTTGGAGTCATTATTTGTAGACTATGGGCTAAGTTTGTCAAGATTACATGAACAAGGATATGATGGAGCAAGCAAAATGCAAGGTGAATTTAATGGTCTTAAAAGTTTGATATTGAAAGAGAATAATACTGCATTTTATATTCATTGCTTTGCCCATTAACTCCAATTAGTTCTTGTTACAGTAGCAAATGTTGAAATAGCATCATTTTTTAGCATAGTTAATAATTTGTCTACTATTGTTGGAGCTTCTTGTAAGCGTTGAGATATTCTTCATGAAAAGAGAATTGATAAGATTAAAGAAGCTTTGCAAAGGGAAGAAATCTCAAGCGGATGTGGCTTGAATCAAGAAACAACAATCAAGAGGGCAGATGATACTAGATGGGGTTCGCATTATGGTACATTACTTAGTCTAATTTCCTTATTCTCCTCTATGATTGATGTGGTTGAAATTGTTGAGAAAGATGGCATAAGTTTAGATCAAAGAGCTGAAGCACATGCTTTTTTAAATTCCATGCAATCATTGGAATTTGTTTTCATATTGCACTTGATGAAAAATATTCTAGGAATTATTTATGAGTTGTCTCAAGCATTACAAAGAAGAGATCAAAACATTGTAAATGCTATGAAGTTAGTTGCAGTATCAAAACAAAGATTCCAAGACATGATGGATGATGGTTGGCATTCTTCATTCAATGAAGTTTCATTATTTTGTGGAAAGCATGATGTTATCATTTCAAATATGAATGGAGTCTTTCAATACAAGGAAGATCAAGACGTAGAATGGAGAAAGTTTCTAATTTACATCACTTTCAAGTTGAATTATTTTATCAAGTCATTGATCGACAACTTCAAGAGTCAAACAATCATTTTACAGAAGTTAATATTGAATTGCTCCTTTGTATAGCATGCTTAAATCCAAAAGATTCATTTTCGTCATTTCATAAGGAGAAGTTAATTCGTTTGACTCAATTTTATCCTACTGAATTTTCACCTATACAACTTTTGGCATTAGATAATCAGCTTCAAAATTATTTCACAGATGTATCCTCCAATAGTCTTTTTCAGAATTGGAGGAATTAGTGATCTTTCTATAAAGCTCGTGGAATCCAAGCACATTGTATATTCTTTGGTGTATTTGCTTGTGGAATTAGCTTTAATATTACCAATGGCAACTGCAAAAGTTGAAAGGGCTTTCTCTGCTATGAATATCATCAAAAATCAGAAGCGAAATCGCATGGGAGGTAAACTGTTGAATGATTGTTTGGTTACTTATATAGAGAAAGAAATTTTTTGATAATGTTGAAAATGAAAAAATTATTCAACATTATCAAAATATGAAACCTCGTAGGGAAATTTTATCAGGAAAAAAAATTTAAAGGGGAAACTTGTGATGTATATTCAAATTTTTTGTAATATATTATGATGTATTTTTTGTATTACAAGTGTGTCTTTATAAATGTAAATATATGATGCTTCCACAATTAAAAATTTCTGGATCCGTCACTATTAATTTACTTTAAAAGAAGAGATTCATTTCTTATTTATAATAATTAAGGGCAAGATTGGAATGTTACTATGTTTTTAATTAGATAACTAACTTTTATCAATTTGCGTGATTTGGTTAAAAACATCTTATATATAGGGATAAAGGGAGTAGCTCTCAAAACACCAGTTCTTTGTCTTCTTGTGTGTCTCCCCAGTTCGTTTAAACCACTAGAATCCTCTAGTCCTTCAAAATTTATTGCCTTTCATTCACCTGGGTTCTCTTCCTCGTTCATCCTTTGGCCTCTTCTTTGCTAGTTCATCGTCCTCCATCTCGGCCTCATCTTCTTGCCATTGTTTTCTCTCTCGTGCAAGGCTGGTGGGTTTGTGGGTTTATCATCCTCTATCACATGTTTCCAATCCAGAGGCTCGTGTATTCATTGGTAAACTCCCTTAGTGCTGGGATACGATCTCATATCTTGAATTTGTTCGGTCTTGTCAATTGATGTAATTTCCTTCTGATAGAGTTTGGTGAGGGAATGAATGTTCTTGATTGAAGGAGTTAAGATGTGGGTTTTGGCCATTCTGATGGTTAAGGAAATCTGGCTTAATTTGTTGTAGTTATGATTTGGTGAATAATTTACTATCTACTTTGTTTTGGGCATGCATTTGAAACTTAATAGTGTTATTTGGCTTTTTTATTTCTCATTCATATCTTCATTTCATCCCTTCTTTTTTTCATTCAGTAGGTATTTGGTATGCTGACACTATTCCATGTTGAGTTGAGAAGACTTTAGTGGGACCAGACTAAGCTGCATTAAACTGGGTCGGATGAAACTTTACTACCAACACTGCTGCATATTTAGAGTTAATACAACTCTCTTACCAACTAAACAAAGCGTTAATAGTTGTCTTATCAAGTGAAGCTGAGATACGGATCAAACTATGCGTTGTAGGTTGGCCAGTATAAGGAGATTTATGTTGAAGTATTATAATGGCCTTAGTTTAGTTGTTAATAAACCTTGTAGTAATTAATTTATTTGTGTGAGG